CCAGCCATTGACGCAACAACTCGATCGGAGGTTGTGCCCCGTAAGTTTCTTTCGTCGGCATCGAAAGATCATCGACGAAAATGATCCACCGTTTACCGATTGGCGCTCCGTAAACACCTTTACGTCGTCTGTCCAGCTTGCCCATGATGGTGTCCTGCGTCTGATTCGCCGTGGTTTGCGCGGAAAAATTTACAATCAACGGTTTGTTCACCGCAGGGTTATTTCTCTTTAATAAGAAATCAATGGTGTAGACGGACTTTCCAGTCCCAGTTGGGCCTACGAGTAGCACTGGCTTCCCGTTAGCTACCAACGAACGAAACAGAGCTGTGTACCGTATCGTCTCGATCGTAGGTACTATTATTTGATTCACAGGAATGTCACGAGGAATCGGTGGAGCGTCGAGCAATTCGTCGGACCATAGTTTCCACTTTCCTTTGCCCTAGCATCGAAAGTCGCACGAGCGAGAAATTTAAAGTTAAATTTAAACAGTTGCTTTCTTGGTTACAAAGCAGGTTACAAAGCCCGCTTCATTTCCAATTCCATTTCATTTTCACTCGCAACTCACCTCCTTGATAAATCTGTAGTCAAAGACAAGACCATCTCGTGGCATGACGAATATATATGGTTTCAAAGGTGGTTCTATCGGTTTCGCCAGCTCGAATAATTCGACCAAATCCAAGGGGAAATTCCTTTCGAGAAAGCCACGAAAGAGAACGCTGAATCGTTCTCTCGACTTTACGTTCAGCGTACCTCCCAGTCCCCAGATACACGAGAAGAAAAACGAACCCTGAAAGAATTCTCAACTTTGAGCCTACCTACTACCTACTACCATCGTCGTCATTATTTATTGTCAAAGCTATCGTCGTTGTTTCGTTCGAAACAACACACGTTTCGTAAAATGGGAATGTTCGGCAACCTCGAGTTGCGCCCGTAGGTCCAACTCGTCCATGTCCTTGGCAACTTTCACGTCGCGATACTCATCGAGAAAACAGTCCATCAGATACGTCAATGA